TTTTTTATATTTTTTTTTTTTTTTTTTTTTTTTTGTATACATTTAAAGATATGTTGATAATTATTTTAAATATAAACTTTTTTTTCTCGCTTTTTCATTCCATGTAGAGTGTTTAAAAGTATATATATATATATAAAATTACATAATGATTATATGTTTCTGAAACTAATATAAAAAGATTAAAAAAAAATAGAACATATTCTAAGAATTTTATGAGTATCTACTAAATATTTTAATTTTTTTTTCTATTTTTTGTATTAAAAGAGATACCATTTATATTTAATAGAAATTTTTTAATTACCTATTTGTCAGAATATAACTTTACAGTAATTATTTTCTATTATTTGAATAGTAATAAAGTAGGTAGAAGTTAATTTTTTTTTTTTTTTTTAATGAACTATTAGATTATTAGAACAAAATTTTGATTTTTCGAAAGCTTTTTATATATAAATTTAGTACAAAATATATTTTAATACGTAAAATTTATTCCAAATTTTTATGAAATATACTAGTGTATTATTTTATTTATTTCCATATTTTAGATACGTAAATAAAATTAAAAAAAAATATTTTTTTCATTTATATTCATTTTTAAAAACTATATTTAATAAAATATATATTATGAAATATATTTTCCATAATATATCGAGGGATTATTTTTTTCTTTTTATTTATATAGAGATTTATGGTATAGTGAAAAAAATAAAAATAACAAAAATTTAAGAATTTTTTCCTTTTATTAACTTTTTTTTAAAGGATTTTTTCTTTTTTTTTTTATCTTTATGATCTTACTTTTAGTTGTACTTTTGTATTATGTTATTTATAAATTTGTATTATTTCAAGAAATGGGGAAAAATATTATTTTAATTATTTATATCAAATAAAAAACTATAAATTAAAAAAAAAATAACTTCATTTGAATATGAAAATTATATAACAATTTTTTTTTCATTTTTTGTTATGTTTGATGTAAAAATTCAAAGGTTTAATTTTTCATTACAATATTATTCATTTTTAGTATACATGCATAAACATAACAATATATATATAAATATTGATATGCTATATTTTTTCTATATTAAGACGTTAAAGTATCTCATATTTATATAAAAAAAAAACATACAATATGAAAATTATTTATTTTTTAAATATATTCATTATTTATGCTGTTACTTTTTTATTATTCATTGAATTTTTGTAGTAAATAATATTTTTTGACCTTTTTTTTTTTTTTTTTTTTTTTTTTTTTTTTTTTT